GGTTTTTGTTTCCCCAATCTGTGTTTTTTCTTGTTCCCTTTTTTTCTTTATTTCGTTTCTTCTTTTCAGCTGTGAAGATGGAGATACTGATTTTATTGCCTTTCGCTTTTATGTTTTGTTACTAAATCTGGGTTTTTGGTTGTTCCTTTTTTTTTTCCTTTAGAGTCTTCGATTTTTGGCTCACTAATAAACATGCCGCAGCTTTCCTCTTCTTCTTCTTCCCCGTACTGCACTATTTTTTACAGACTCTTGTAGATCGATAGCTGATTGTGATTTGGGCGTGAAATGTGCAGGTTAAGGAGGGAAAAGGTAAGAAGAATCAGCAGCGATGGCGGTGCCTTTGCTTTCGAAGAAGACAACGAAGAAAAGGGTTAACAAGTTCAAGCAACCCCAGAGTGACCGAAAAATTTCCATCAAGGTATATCACCCTGATTCACTTGAAAAAAATTGTCCTTTTTAGTTTTTTTAATATTTTAGGAAATGCGCTATATATAAGGCATTTGCAAATTGATCTTTATTTTCGTGTTCTGTTTGCGAAATAGGAAAATGATTGTGAAAGCTTTAAAGAAAATGATCAGAAATGTAAAGGAACTAACTTGGAATCTTTGATTAGGTTTAGATTTTGTTTTGTGTTTTATGATTTTCTCATGACTATAACAGCTCTTGGAATCGTCTTGCAAAAGTAGAATTGCTGTTCATGGGATTGACTATGAAGGCCATGCAAAGTTATTGGTTTTGTTAAAGCTTCAAAACCTGTGGTATTGTTGTTCCTTTGAATTTTGAGTAATTATGGGCTTAAATTTTATAGCACTGGTTTTTCATGGCTCTATTTGAAAGCCACTTAAAACCCATTAAAGATGTCTGCTTTGGCAGAACGTTGTTCATGGGATTAGTATACATTTGAAGTATTTATCAGGATATGAAAGAATTCATTTCTCTTTGTATGAGGTGTGCTTGATTTTTTTAACTCCGTATATTTGTTGCTGCCTATTCACTGAAAAAAGGAAATAGATGGTACCTTAGTTGTTCTAAGTATGTCTTCAGCTATGGTGAATTAAATGCTATAGGTTTTCTTCTGTGACTTTTCCTTTCCTTTGTTTTTTCTTTGTTATATGTTCTCTTGCATACTGTACTTTGCTGATGTTGTTCTTGGCATTTTATGATTTAGGTTATTTTACTGATTTTCATCCTGGCCTTGTGCATTCGTCTTCGAATCTACGGTGGAGTACAAAACATGAATGCCCATAGAAGCTACGAGTGTAGTTATTAGCATTATTAAAGGTAATGGATTTGGAGTTTGGAGTAGTTGAGGAGAGATTGAAGACTTTTTTTGGGTTAGCTGCAGACAGAATTTTGGAATCCTCGATAGAATTGTCCAAATTCTCGATAGAATTGTCTACAAAAATAAGAATCAGCATCGAATGTGCTCTTATTTTCAGTACCTGCTTAAGGTTGGTTTTTTTTTTTGGCCTAAAGTTTCAGTTTTTACGTGCTCAGTGAAAAGCACTAACCTGTATGCCTTCAAAGCATTTGCTTATTGGGTTTGTTGGTTTAAAATTAATTGTGATTTTGTGACAGGTTAGACGGGATTTGAGGCTTCTGCAATCGGCAGTTGGAGAAATCTTGAATTCCTGCTTTCTGGTAATCCATGGCAAAGGGCCTAAACAAAAACTGTAGCTTTTGGAAAGGTATAAACATAAAGAAGGGCATATTTTCCAACATTGTTGTTTACCATATGCATTGATTAGTGATTCATGCATTTTTTTTTGGAGGAAATAGCAACATTTCATTGAGGTTTCATCAGTAGATCGCAAAGCCATAAATTCTTAAAGTTTTCTTAGTAATTTTGATGGGGAGGCTTCGAAAAGTTAAATTGGAAGTTGAAAGTTAATATCCAAGAAAAATTGATTAAATGACCAGTCTGTGAATGTAATGTACAATTAGTAATGATTAGACTCTTACTTTATGTCAAATTGCACATACCAAAACTTTTGGCCTTCCATTTGGGTTTCAGTCTGAAGCGGAGAAGGTGTGATGGTGGCATGTAACAGCCCCACTTTCCCCTAAGGCGAACCAAAGAGGTTAGCGGACTGCCTGCCCAGCTCTCGCCAGGACTACGGATCGGTTTACATCGATCTATTACGTTCCGGAGCATACCGAAGCACGCAAACAAGTCAAAATCGCAAAATAAAAAAAACGAAAAAATCAAAGCCGAAGATGAACAGTAACGGACACGTCAGAATCCGGCCGGAATCTGGCCGGATTTTCGGCCGGATTCTCGGCCGGATACAAGGCCGAGAGCAATCCAAAATTTTTCCAAAATCCTTCCCAATCCGGCCGGCAATCCGGCCAGTTTCTTGCCGGATTCCTGGCCGGATTCGGTCCTGTTCATTCCCGCCAAATTTTTTCCTTCTCCGTTTGAAATGCGTCTAGATCCGAAATCCATCCAATCATCAACCAAACATATATATACATTGAAATTCAACTTTTACAACCATAGTGTCATGCCAAAAACCATCTATCATGAATATACATACTCGGTTTGCCAATCAAAGAAAATGAACCCAATACACAATAGAGTTTCATTCGATAAGCTAAACAAAAGCCATTTACACTAGCTCAACTTGGCAATCGACTATCCAAATCAGTCCCAAAAGTAATTATATCCCTGTAAGGAAAACAAATGGAACGGGATGAGCTAAAGCCCAGTGAGTTACTACCACATAAGCAACTAAGAGCATATAGCATAACCTTTCATTTCAAGTACACAATTAAGGAATGAAACACATCGATAAAAGGATATGGACGGCTCTCAAGAGCCCATTTCCACGCTTCCATTCTTGATCCAACCTCATTGACCCTCCGTCAATGTTGAAGAGTAACCAACCGTAGACTCCTCTTCTCTCCCATTCCTTCCACCAAACATCCCCCTACCGGGCCCGCACTCCAAACACTTGCACTGTGGTATTACTCGAGTATACCGGAATCAAGAGTCTCTCATACTACAAGATTCCTTATAACTTTACCCAAGGCTCATTAATTGTCACGACCAAACCCTTGTCGGCTCGATTCAATCAACTACCAATGGGGTTGAGCTCAATGATAACATTTGTAGTCGTTGGATACTTGTCCAATCGATACTAAGTCATGTATTTCATTTCATATAACAGTCCATATAACTTTCCAATAACTTTTCAATAACATATGAAACAATAAGTGAGAGTGATAAAGTACACTCTCACATCAATCCATTAACATACAACATCTCGAGTTCAAATATCAAAGCCATATAATAGCACACAAGTGAGTAGTACACTCACCAATCAATTAAGTGCTATTTCATGCACTTCCGTCAGGAGAATGTCGTGAACCACCGTCACGCCCTAGAACACGTAAACAAATGCAATGAGACTCGATAGCGAGTCACAAAACAATGCCAATCACAACCCCAATAAGGTTTTGCAAACATATATAAACATCATAGGAAACCAGAAATTAGGAAAAAGGCTTTAACTTAGGCCTTGATAAGAAAACCGGTTTTGACGTCATAATGCGGTAATGGCACAACTCTCACTACAATTATCGGATGGGGCTGTAAGACCCACCGTTTCGAAGATATGGAACAGGGTTACAATAATGTAGAAGACCACTCAATCCAGTTCCTAGCTTAACTAGGTCGAAAATGCCAAATACTAACCCAGAATTCCTAAAACAGGTTCACAAAACACAAAAAACTGTAATCGGTATATCTCAGTCCATACAAGTCCAAATACCGAAATTCCAAAGGCATAAGTTAGCTAAGTCATCCAACTACATTTCATCAGAAGACACCAACTTCAAAATCCAAACCAATTCCAGTCAAAATGGCCAATTACTATCGCAGTTTTCGCATTCTGATCAAAGCAGAACAGCTACAGTAAAAACGGCATAACTCACTCTACACTCATCCAAATGACCTGAAATTTTGCAGGCATCCCAATCACATCAATACCTAAAACTTTCATGTTTTGAGCAAAGTCAAATTCGGCCTCTAACCCTATGATCCAAAACCGGACAGAATTGGGGATTTAAGAACCCTAACTTTTCAAATTTCACACCAAATCCAAAATTGATTGTATTTCACCACAATTCACACTCACTAGAGTCATTTCCAACCATTACAATTCATCATACAAGCCCCCAACATCAAGATCATATTAAACCAGAAAAATTCCCAATAAAATAAAAACTCCACCAAAACTCTTCAAATCAAGAAACAAATCATATATTTCAACACTCATGCCACCATTAAGCACAAAATAACCATCATTAGGTGTAGTAGAAAGGTTGAAGCATCACTCACCTAACAACAAGAGAGAGGAAGATGATGGACACCTTAGCTCTTCCAAACAAATCCACAAAACAACTCACAATCACCACTTGAAGATGTTTTATGGAGCAAAATCAAGGTTGGATGGTTGGTTTGATGATTTGGAACAAGATTGAAGTGTTTCTTCTTTGTACTTGGAGCAAGAGAGAGAGAAAGAGAGAGAGGAGAGAGCCGGCCATATGAGGAGAAGAAAATGGTGATTTTTGGTGAATTTTGGATATTTAATCCTTTGGTCAAAAAAGTCAAAATTGTGAATAGTGTTTCTTAAAAGTTCAACCAATGAAAAGGTGACATGTGTCACTCTATTAAATGCATCCTTATCATTCTTTTCTCTCTCACATCAATCACTTCACACACCCTACTTATCTCTTAATACCCGATAAACTTTTAACAGTATCCGAAACTTAACCTTATTGGCCGAATTTTCCGAACTTATCGCACTAGTGGGTCCCACATCCAATATATATTCTTAATTTTCTAAAAATTCACCAATGCTAGAAAAATCATCTTAAAACTATAATTGCTCATAAAATCCATTAAGAAAATATTTCTAAGCCAGAAAATGCAGAAAATATGCTATTAAGGGGAAATAAACCCTAGGAATATAATTAGGGTTTTACGGGTTCTCACATGGCAAATATAACTTTTTGGAAAGGCTTCTTGGAGTTGTACGTTTACTATCAAAGGTAGTACATTTGTTTGTGATTTGTTGCTCACAGTTGTTTCTTTAAATTGTTATTCTATCTTCAGTTTTCTACGCGTCTCAGTTGAGCGTATGTTGCGAGGCATGCCATAAACTATGATCTTACATCTGTGCTTTTAAAAAATTTCCCATTCTTTTGCTGTCCAAATTAGTCCAAGTCATTGTCCATCAAAATCTTTGGACCTTAGAGGATTAAACTTGGTTGATTTGAGTCTCTTCCATTGTTCTTGTGTTATCTTCCTATAGTAGCAAATAATTAATAGATCGCTGCTGCCTTCTTTCCTTACCGTTCTCTTTCATCTACTTCTCTGGTATCGTTGTCCACGAGAGAAATATAATTAGCTGGAATCTTCATTCTTTCCCAAGGAAGTGTATCTGCTCTTCCTCCTTACACCACAACCAGTGGGAGAGCTAGAGTAAAGATGTGGTTATTTTCAATTTCTTATGGGGCTTTTCAGTGATTAGTTTCCTTTTGGTCTATTTACATCCAACAAGTACTAATTTTCGATGTAAGTGGTTGGGAAGCTACTCCCAGATCCAATTCTCGATGTAAGCGGTTGGGGAAACTCCGTCAACCTTGATAAATTGCCAACCTTTTAAATTCTTTTTTTTCCCAGTTGGAGATCGACAGATTCTTCTTTTCCGTTCTTCCTATCATCCTCTCCTCATAAATTGAATTTTTCATCTATTTTCTCCATCATTTCCTTCTGCTAGAGACATGTCTTTTGCAGTGAAAAAGCAGTCTTTTTTACACATATTAATGATGTTTATTTTTGAGTAAATTTAAGTCATGACCTACATTTTTTGCATTTTTTGTACTTTTGGTTTCTTGAGGATCTCAGGTTTTCTTACTTAAATTTCTATGGGTTCTGTGAATAATATGTTGGTGTTATGCTTTAATATTGTGGGTAGGGGGGAGGGTCTCAGCTTTTGTTATTTATGTGATTTTATTGTAGAATTTTGTTTCTGCCAAGTTTAGGATTGATCTCAAGTTGGCTATGGAGGTTTTTTCTTCCTTTCAATTTTCATGGAGTCTAATGTAAATTTGGAATTTCAAAATTTTCCTTTTACCTGGTCTAATTTTCTAATTACTAGGGGATTTGACACATAAAATCAAGGCGGTGTTAGATTTGTTCATCTGTGTTTTTTCTTTGGTATTGATGTGAGAAATTCGTTTCTGAAAGTGTAAATTTTAATTTCTTGAGTTGATTTATTTTGTGGAGTTTGAGGAGGAAAAAATGTTTTTGAAAAGGCATGCTTATCTTAGTTGAATTTGTTGATTCCCTATTGTGCTGAATTGTGATTGTTTTGATTCGAATTGTAGATGATGATGGCCAATTGTCATGCTTCTTTAATTACTAAACATGACTTTGTTCTTATGTGGAGCAGCAACTGTAGGCTGATATTGGTGAGATTGAAGCTGATAAAGTTGATGAGGCTGCCCTCATTGGCAATGAAAAGCATGAATCTAAGTGTATAACAAGTTACTTTTAGAATGTGTTTCTGTTTTATCTGGTGCTTCTTTCTGGTGTCCAAGGTGGAGATGATGCCTCTTTCCGGTATCATCTCTACCTTAGAAGTTGCTGAATTAGTATTTTCTTTGAAATGTATTTTTCCCATGTTTTCCTTCAAAACAGAGGTGACCAAAGGAAAAACATTACATCTTTCCATTACATGTTTGTCTTATCCTTTGGTTTCTCTTTTTTTCCTTTTTTTTGGGATTTACCCTTGTCCTTTGTTTCTCGTGTTTTGATGATATGAGACTTCTTTGCACATTTGTCTGCAAGTTTTTTGCTGCAATGGCGCTTGAATTGACTTGGTTGGTGAAAGTTTTTGTGTTACATGTATTTTATGTCCCTATGATTTTGTTCTATCCATATGTGATACTTCTTTATGTCTGTTTTCTTGACCTGATTGCCAGTTTTGTTTTTCAGTATTATTCATCTTCATTCCAATGGGAACTCACAGCTCTAAATTAGGCTTTTGCTGGTAGCCTTCTAACCTCAGATCCAACGTCCCTTATTCCTCTGATCTTGGTAATTCTTAAAACTCTGTTAAATGTATAAAAATGTAATATTTGTTCCCTTTTTCTGATTTTTTTCTTCTGGGATTTTAGAGAAATGTGGAGAAAATGCGAGGATGAAACTGCCAGCATTTAAAGAATGCAGTTTAGATGAGCTAAAGATGGCACCTTCAAGATTCTCAATTGAAAACATTGTATCAGAACATGGAGATAGAGCTCGCAATGTTGTCTACAAAGGGCAGCTTGAAGATGACGCCTCTTGGATTGCTGTCAAACATTTCAATAAGTTTGCTTGGCCGGATTCTCGGCAATTCCTGGTTGTTATTACTCCTTTTAAGCAAGTCCGCAACTATAGTCTTCACAAATGTGATATTATCTTATTTATGTACGTGCTTTGATATCAGCCATAGTACTTAGTTAACCATGAGTACGGTGGATGTTATTCAGATTTAAGATTTGTTGTATGCAATTTGTAGGTTGATAAGTGAGGAAACTTATTGCAGGCTGATGTGATTTGAGACATTGATTATACGGTTGTTATGCCATATGAATTGTACCTTTGTTTACAATCAAATGGGATGAAGTATTTTGTTTCTACCAAATGGGATGAAGTCGCTTTCATTTTTTTTCTTACTCACTTTGGCTTCTACTATTTTGCATTTTCCTGCGTACAGCCTTATTAACTCTCCTCCTTCACTTTTTTTTTTCTAATCTTGAAAATGATCTGAGAGCATGGGAAGTAAAATCTAAGCTCTAATGATGCATATTAATGGACCTTGTAATTAAATCATAATGCAACCTACCCTTGAAATAGCAAGTGCAGCTGATAACTTAGACAAAGTTTTATAATATTTTGGTTCTTTAATAAGAGTAACACTTACTATTTTTTACATGATTACCTACTTAGATGAAAGTTGACTTTAATTTTGGTTTAATATTTTATTTTGGTTTATTTGTAACTAAATTTTATCAAAAAACAAACAAATTTCATTAATGATCCATTTGAATTAGTACAAATTATTTTATTAAATTGGGCATCTTCATCCTTTTTCCCACCGTGCATAGCACGGTTTATGCCTCCTAGTAGTCACTAACTTGACTATCGTTGACTCAGTCATTTTCATGATGGCTTCATTAATGAGTGATCCACCAAATTTGGATGTCGTGGATCAATAATGGCAGCTCCACCCCATGAGACTTATCTCCAAATGATATAAGAACAGGAATTAGCTTACCATGCAATTGCATCACTTGAGAACCTACCAAAGGAATCTCCGCATGACTTTCTTGGGCAATAATGTTCTTAGAACTTTCATTTTCAACATACTCCTCAAGAGGGATTATATATGAATCATTCATGCATGCCTCTTGAGGTTCAAGATCCATTCCAAAGGCATTATCATGTGAAATAGACATTTCCTCATTAGAGCTCACATTAGATGCTTCATTATCATCAAAATGCATTCTATTTTCACATGTGGCATTCCCATCATTCATGTTTAGATTGAATTCACTATTCTTGCATGAAATAGTTTCATGTATAACATTCAAATGATCTTGTATTTTATCATAGCATGAAGTGAATTCATTGTAACATCATGACGGTCGGAAATCTCATTAGCGAACTTTTCAATAGCAAACTCCCAAGATGACTTTAATTCATATTAGACATATTCGGGTTGGTAATCATAGCAAATCAAAGATTCACTACATTGATTATTCCAACAATATTCATAAGAATTATCCCAACTAGGATTGCATTGATCAAAACAAGAATTATAATGCCCAAATTCACCAATAATCCATATTTTGTACTTGCATACATTCATAAGTAGTATGATATCCTCAATACAAGCCACAACTCACATGATTAGATTTAAAAGTATTAACATTCCTTTTTTGTTCATACATAGATGTCAACATGTCCAAATTAGCATTTAATGCACCAAAGTCATTTGTACCTATGGGTCTTGCTCGGTTACCTATATTGTTGAAACTTTGAAAGTAATAGGGATCCATTAATGCTGAGTTTCCTTCCCTCACTATTTGAGCTATCCTTCTTGAATCGCTAAACATGCTTTCAGACAAACTCAAAAGCACTATTAGTCAAGAAGAATACGTAATAAGACACAAACAAAAGCTAAAACCAAACACACAAAAGAAACACAAAAATATAAATAAAATAGCGCCAAAAACTTGATGAGAATTTTACTTCACACTAAATTTTAAAAAACCAAATACCCCATATTCGGCAAAGATACAAATTGTTTATTAAGCATGGGGGATATTAGGTGTCAATACCATAGGAAAGATTGTCAATTACCTGTGATTTTCAAACTCTTTTATTATTTAAACGACCACAAGTTAAATCAAGTAAGTTTAAGCTACAAGCATGAAAATAAATGAAGTAAAAATGGCAATAAAAAGCATCTAGAATTATGAAATTCCTTACTACTCTTACAAGTGCAATTAATAGTTAATTGAATATTATTATCTTGGCTAAAAATGATGTAATTTCCTAATACATATGAAGCCTACTCTCGTAGTGAATCAACTATTCTCGTAGCTAAACCATACCTACTCCTGTAGTTATGAAATTAAGTACAAGTGCATTTCTTCTATAAAATTACATGGAACAATGCCACCAAAGCCACAAACATGCACCTCTACTTTCGTGAGTGTAATTCCAAAGTTTAACACTTAGTATTAAATTCTAATTCTCATTACAAATCTAACACGTTGAGATTATCACAATTAATAGCTAGTTAATCATGATTAGATTAAGCAAAAGTGCTAAATAAGTTGTTCACAATCATAGTATCAAATAACCATGTAAATATCACAAACAAGATATAGAAGTTCATTCATAATTCTAGGCATACACTTAAAATACATAATAAACATAAAATCCAAATTTATATAATAACTTAACACTAGAATCTAATACAAAAAACAAAGAGTTTGGAAAGAAATGGAACTCTTGTCACATTAGTTCAACTCCTCTATTTTCATCTTTGCCTAGATAATAAATACAGAGGGATAAACTCACTAACCTAAACTATCCTACACTATCTAAAATATAAGAACTACATCTTGAAGTGAAGAAGCGTTGTTACACCTCCAAACTTAGCTCCTAAATGATGCAACAAGCCCCTGTTTATAGAAAAATTTCTCTACAAGCTTCCAACATTTCATATCTCCAATACACCAAAAAGTCTTCATCTCCAATGTGAAAGATTGATAAAAAATCTCCAAAAAAATCCACAAAAGTTGTTAAAAGTTGATTCCAATTGATGAAAGTTGTTAAATGTTGACAAAAGTGATTGGCTTGAGCTTTAAACCTTTCTTTCAAGTTGATTTTCCAGCTCAAATTGAAATGAAGAAAGATACATCAAGATGGATCAAGTTGCACAAGTTGTGCAAGTTACATTATAGCATTTCGGATAAGAAAACTGACATGCGCAGGGTATACATATACAATTAGCTTATCCACAATCAAGTTTTACATTTATAACATTCTAAATACCCCACACACGATTTTTCGCAAGTATACGAGTCGAGAGTGAGTATAGGGTATTAAGAGTCGATCCCACAAGGAAGATTTTCAATTACCGGTGATTTTCTAACTCCTTTATTATCTAGACTACCATAAACATAAAGTAATGAAAATAACACTAGAAAACTCCTAGAGATATGGAATTCCTTACTATTCTTGCAAATGACATTACCAGTTAAGTGAATGCTATTATCTTGGTTAGTTATGGTGTAATTTCCTAATGTATGTGAAACCTACTCTCATAGTGAATCAACTATACTTGTAGCTAAATCATACTTACTCTCGTGGTTATGAAATTAACTACAAGTGCATTTTTTCTATGAAATTACATGAAACAAGTTATTTAAGCCACAAAGGTGCTCCTCTACTCTCGTGAGTGAACTCCCTGAGTTTATCACTTCCTTGAACTAGTGTTAAATTTCAATTCTCATTACAAACTTAACACCTTTAGATAATCACAACTAATGGCCAGTTAATCATGATTAGAAAAGCAAAAGTGATAAATAACTTACTCAAAATAATATCATCAAATAACCAAATAAACATCACTAACAAGATGTAGAAAGTTCATCCATACTCTAGGCATAAACTTTAATTAAACATAAAGAACAAGATCCAAACTTGCATTATAGTTAAATATGAACTTAAATACAAAAGAGAAAGTGTTAGAAGAGAAGTCACCCTTGTCACATGTACTCTAACTCTCCACCTTTGCTCTTCAAATCTTCATCCAAATCTAACTAAAAATACAAGAAGGAAAAGCTACATTAACTATACTAATCTACCCTAACTAATGAACTAAGAAAAACTAGTGAAGACTACATTTTTGTGCAGTTTCTCTAACCTTCCAAAGATGTGAAAATATCCTCCAAGGCTGCTATTTATAGAGAGAATTCATGCAGGAGACAAAGTGTTTAATCATGCCTTGAGCCCATAAACAAGCTAGAAGTGAGTTGTAAAGCTTCTTTTGCAGTTGTCTTGGGCTATTTCCACCGATATTCTTGCAGGAAAATGGGTCAAAAATTTGTGTGATCAAAACACAAGTTGCAGCCGAAATTGAGGAATACGCGACGTCAAGCCATGTATTCATGAAGTTGCATTTTTGCTTCTATGCATTTGGCACCACTTCAATTGCTATTTTCTCAATGATAGAGGCTGAACTAACTCTTTTGTAAAACATGAAAATTGTAGCCCGTTGAGTTAGATTTTTAATACCTCAAGAATCATCCCATTTTGGAGCCTGTGGACCAAGCAATGACCAAACTACCCTCGCCTGGTCAGATCTCTATTTCAGCTTTTGACAACAGAGTTGCACTTCTGTATTTCGACTTTTTGACAATGAAAACGACTGAAATGGATTTCAATGTCTTCATACAAAATGTAGATCTATCTCTTAGCTTCAAAATGGTATAAGAATCACTTGAATCCATTGCTTGTAGCTCCAAATATAGCCAAAATACCACAAGATGTCGAAACTGTCTTCACTTGCATTTCTTCCTTTGAATGTTTTGCACTACATGTCTTCTTTAAACCACTTCAAATCATCAATAATCATCCAATTATCTTCTCCAATCTCTCCAATTGATGATTGAATCCTTAAACCTACAAAAACATGAAGTTTTTACCCTTAAAATCTATAGAAATGCATTTTTCAAACTTTAAACCACAAAATGCATATTTTCACTAAAATCCTAGTTAATTAGCTATAAAAGTAGTTAAAACAGACCAAAACTAACTAATAAAACACATTTAAAACATGTAAAATATATGCTTATCAAAAATAGACCTTGACACTGCACTTTGAACAAGAATTGGTCTGGAGAAGTGATTTCTTCTTTGGCAAGAAATCTCATTTAGCTTCAAAACCATTCTACCTCCATACAGCTGCTCAATCCCTTATATTTTAACCCTTGAAAACGGTTGAATCAGCTTTTATGCTAAACACGAAACTTGTAGCTCTCTGAGATAGCTTTCAAATGGTGTAACAATCTGGTC